GTCAACTCAATTGTATGTGCAATAGTAATGCATTATTTTTGCATTCATTTAATATTATTTTAGATGATTATATTCCAGTAAACTGTACAGATGGTGATATTAGACTGTATGGTGGGTCTACACCTAACCAAGGAATACTTCATGTGTGTAGTAATGGAATCTGGGGAACTGTCTGCAGTAATAACTATTGGAATAACATTGAAGCTGATGTTGCTTGCTTTCAGTTGGGGTACTACAGCTATGGTTTGTTTCATTAGTAACAATGTGAACTAGAATAGAATTTTGTAGGTCACTCTTTCTCTAGAACAACCACTAGTAGAATGTTTCCACTCATTTATTCTTATTTTAATTGTCATGGTAATGAAGTAACACTGTTGTCCTGTAGTTCTGGACTTCATTCTAGTATTCAGTATTGTACTAACAATGCTGTTAAGTTAAACTGTGAAGGTTAGTCTAGTAAAGTGTCTGTTTATGTTATGCTGTTGTGTCATTAGCAAATTGTACATCTGGTGACATGCGCCTAGTTAGTGGTGGATACTATTATGGTCGTGTTGAAGTTTGTGTTGAAGGAATATGGGGAACTATCTGCAGAGATAGCTATTGGGATAATAATGATGCTAGTGTTGTTTGTAGGCAGCTAGGATTCTCTCCTTATGGTACATATATGTGTTATTTCTATTTTTGTGTTTTTTATACAAAAAAATCAGTTTATCACCAAAATATATAAACTTCAAAGATAGATCTAATGCATTATATATAGGTTCAATTGCTGTTACTTCTTCATGGAATAATGAAGAACGTGGAATAACTTTTTTAACTGGATTAAATTGTAATGGAACTGAAGAAAACATTTTTGATTGTCTAATTGATGCTAATGCTCCTATTTGTTCATCTAATTGGGCTGATGCTAATGTTGTTTGTCCAGGTAGACTATATGTACTAAATTTGTAAATAAATTGTTTTTTTATAGCTCATGGTGTTTCAACTTATTCTAATTGCACTGATGGTAATATTAGATTGATTGGTGGCAGCACAAAATATGAAGGAAGAGTTGAAGTCTGCATTAATAATGCATGGGGAACAGCTTATGGCTATTCCAGTGATTATTTTGCTCAAACAGTATGCAATACATTAGGTTTTAGTTCTCCTGGTATGTTGTTATATTGTATTTTGATAATTTGCGTTGACTTTACAAATATATAGGTGCTATATATCTTTTTAATACACCATTTGGTGAAGGAAGTGGTCCTATATTAATGTATGCATACTGCTATCCTGCAGAGAATTCGCTGCTTGACTGTTACTCATGGCCACAATATATTCCAGATGCGAGGCATGAATCTGATGCTAGTGTAAGGTGTGAAAGTAAGTTGTGCTTTATCTATTCGTATCAATTTTGAATTTTAATTATATACAGTTCCTTGTGAAAATGGTGACATCAGGCTAGTTGGTGGTACTGATCCATTGGTGGGAAGAGTAGAGCTATGTGTTTATAAGACCTGGGGTACTATATGTGATGATTATTGGGATGACAATGATGCTAGTGTTGTATGTAGACAAGTTGGTTTTTCTGGGCAAGGAAATACTTATGCACT